AATCAATGCCACGTAGAATTAAGGCAGTTCTGAAGGCGAAAGGGGGTCAAACACCGTATTAGTATGGTGTTCCTAATAATCCTTTAGGTGAGTGTACATATAAAACATGATGTGTGATGCCGTTAACTGTCTTTGATTTTACCTCAGTCAATTTTAGCATTTATTTATAGTTGCTTACTAATTAAGAGTGCTGGTGCGATACAGTAGGATACCAAACCCACACAAGTGTTTTCTGACATTCAGTTTCTCTGTGAGTGGCTGTCTTGATTGTGTGACACTCCAGGCCATATCACCTCAGGCTCCACTTAATACCTTAGCAACCACTTCTGAAACTCTCCATCCCTAGCAACCATTAAAGGCCTTTCACCCAAAAAGCAAACGTTAAATTTTGTACTTGGTGCCATAATACAAAATTTGGCTGCCTAGCAACGAACACTGAGGACGCTTTACGCTGATCAATGCCATGCGGCTCAGAGCTGGAGCATTTCCGTGGACACCGTGATGTTCCTCGCAGTGCTGAGGACCGCCTACGCAATTCCTCGGCATGATCAGCAGTGCAGGCTGCATCCCCAGCAACGCCAGCCTCCGTGTTCAGCTACAACATGGACAAAGTGGCACAGAAGGCATCATGAAGGGATGATCCTGCCAATCTCTACATCCCTCTTGGGGTGGTGTGTAGCTCAGTAGGTTGGTGATCTGTGCCTATGCTTGGTATAATGTGGGATCAAATCCTATGGCTGGAAGAATGTGGGATCAAATTCTGTGACTGGCAGAATAATTATATCACCATTGGGCCCTTGAGCAAGGCCTTTATCCCTAACTCAGTGGTTCCTAACCCAGTCCTTAGGGACCCAAGACAGTCCACATTTTTGCTCCCAGCCAATCAAGAACAAGGGGCTGGTACACCAGGTACAGGTGTTGGGAGCTTGGAGGGAGCAAAAATTTGGACTGCCTGGGGTCCCTGAGGACTGGGTTGCGAACCACTGCCCTAACTGCTCTAGGAGTGCTGACTCCAGAACTGTCCCTCACGGAGCACAGGATGAAGTATGTGAAACCAAGGAATTTCAGTGTGCCTTCTACCATTATGAATAAAGTATCTTTCTTGTCTATTTAAAATAAGCCTTACTGCATTTTTACTCTAAAATGTAGGTTAGAAACAGTTTTCGCCTGTATAAGTGAGAACATCACTTCTTCACTCATCCTAGAATTTCTTTTGAAATTGATGACAGCTTACCAGCTGCTACATTGTTAATGTGCCACTTAAAAGCACAGGAAGCAATACTCATAAAGTGGGATCTACTCCCAAGGAACGTTAAACTGCAGATGAACGGCCCACAAAGCAATGTGGGGCACCCAGGCAACGGACAGCCTCATCTCCACAGTGCCACTTACAGGCAGTGCTGATAAAGACACAAGCAGTTTATGAAGTCATTGATAACTGTTATCCAGACCACAGGCTGCCAAACCATATATGACACTTCACAGAGGCAAAAAAATTTAACCCAGGAGCATCATTAAAAGTATCCCTGTATTTAATGTCATAGGTTAATATTTTATGTGTGTGTGTGTGTGGGCGGCAGGGGGGTACAGATAGTGAACAAGGTTTTTGTAGCATTTGATATCCTTCTAAAGGATAATCAAACCACATTAATTCAAAGTAAACTAGATGCTGTTCAAACACCAGCAATGTATTCCCCGGATGGCCCCGTTACCTCCTCCTAGTCTGACCCCTACCCCTCACACCCCCAACCGCTACGCCCCCAAAATACTCTTCCCATCTCTCCAAAAATCATATCTTTGCTGTGTGTGACTTGTTTTAGTGTAATCAGGTACACCAGATCTGTGTCTGTCCATTCTTGTGCCAATACTAAGTGACACTTGCAGTTTTGGTGCCTTAGGTCTCAGAATGAAACCAGGTGTAGATCTTCATCGAATGCTTTTGTTAAGTGGTACTAAGATCAATTATATACTTTTTTAGTTATCACATTCACAGTATTGTGTCTTCCACAGTCATTCTTCCTGTTGCTGCTAATAAGTAGGGTCACTTCCATTTTAATGTGTTTTGTCTCAAAATAAAATCAGTTCCAGACCTACTATACAAAGTTCCAGGAGAAATTGAAAAAGATTCAACAAATGCTTTTTGATTTATCATGTTAATGTCTGCAGCTACCAAACTCCTCCAATTTTAGTTTGTCTCAAAATTTGATCAGTTCCAGTCCTTTGTGTCTGCCAAGTTTGAAGATCAGCTTGTGTTATCACGCTAATGAAGTGTCTACCAGACCGATCCCAAAACCTATGAACTGTGCCACGGCTGCAAGTTTAATATTTGTTGCTAGTAAAATACCTACTGGATAATCTACAAGTGTTTCTGTTCCTCATTTCTGTACTGCCTAGGCTTCCCCTTCTGCTGAAACTGAAGACGACCACACATTAGGTAGTGGACTGTGGGATTAATGAGGCTTGGGAAAAGCGCCCTCTATAGTGAGATAAAAGTAGCACAGGAAAGCAGCAGTTTAACCTTGATTGTCATGACTCTTTGGAGCCTGCAGCAGTGTTTCCCAACCTGGTCCTTGGGGATCCGACAGTCCATGTGAATTGTTGGGCAAGCAGCTGGAAGCGAGCAATAACATGGACTGTCTGGAGGGCCCCTGAAGACCAGACTGGGAAACACCACCCTGCAGGATCTAGCAATGAGTTAAATATCACTTTAAAGGATAAGACAACACAATGCTGGATTTGTGTTAGGAGATTTTATTTCATACTGCCAATTAGGGGACTTTGTGTAGTTTTTTTTTTAATGTAGCTTATTATTTAACTTAAAATAATCCTAAACCTATGGGCCCCTGTACCCTTCAAAATGCCAACAGTATGAAAGAAAGCAAGAAATTCTCCAGAAAGGAAATTTCAGCAATTACAACATAATGATCAATTCAGTATACTTTAAACTGAAATGATCACAATTAATTCTGTGATGATCAGCTTCCCTGTAAGAACCCGCAATTGAATAAGGTCCAGGTATGAGTCAACACAGTGTCAAAAGGCAAACTGGAAATTGGGGGGGGGGGAAAAAAAAACAAGTTCACGAAAAAAAAGGGGGCATTTAATTACTGACTGCATTCTACGTCAGTGATTCCTTTTCAGTTTGCTTGGGAAGTTTCTGCAGACATGTCCCAGGGAAATATTACCAAACCTTTAAGCTATTTTTTTTTTAATACCACCAGAGAAATTAATAAGGTACACATACAGATAACCCCAATATGCCTAAACTCTATCACACTGGACAACTATTTTCACTGATCTAAGAACTATATATCAATTTGCATATGCAGCTGGCAATAGGCAAAAGGACATGTTCTTTATTTGTCAGTGCATTTTTTTTAAATGAGTATTCACAATAAAAAGGAACAGGGTAGTTTATACAAGCAACAGCACCCCCTACAGGAATTAACACCACACACAAAATCCGCACAAAATGAAAAGTTTCTTTATAGATCCTGAAATTTAATTTAATATGCACATACAAAAACCCAGTGTGCTTGTGTTTTCTATGGCTCTAGAACCAAAGTGTTTTGAATTCCCAACAAGCATAATAGGGAGAAATGAGCATTTATTCCTATTTAAACCTTTTCTTACGAACATCAGGAAAACAATGCCTATTATGTGCCAAATGATACAGAGCAAAATTGCAAAATTAAATCTCTCAAAAGGAAGCATGTTTGTGCAGACCTTCAGAATTATTTCTAAAAGAGGTGCTTCAATAAAAAAAAGAAAGTCATCAGTCGTCTCTGTCTGGGCTTCCACTCCTGTGGGGGCTTCCTGAGTGAGAACGGCTGAAACACAATAGAAATTACTCAGGATTTATCATATGACGTAGCTATTTAAGCCTGATATTCAGCCCTAATAAACATCATTCACAGTTTGGCATCAGCACTTGTCTACATAAGGGGGCATGAAGCTCTCCAGCATGGCCCCTCCATTTCACAGCCCTGTCAGCTGGTGACATCTTACAGAAGGCGGCTCGCCGACAGGATGAGGAGCACAGCCTGCAGGACTGCACTCAGAAGCTCATGGGCACTTAAATGGGCTCCTCATCACAACCCACCCCCCTGTCCCCCCTCGGTACAGGCACTTTAACAGAAGCTTCCAGGACGTGCGGCATTACATGGAGCTCAACTGTCAAACAAATGCTTACCTTCGTTTTGCAGGCGATGATCTAGATTTTGAGTGGCTGGGAGGGAAATACAAGTTCCAGTAAATCACACTTTCCAATAAGTAGAAATTCAACCACTACCATAGTTTTCAGTATATAAAAGAAGAATCATATAGCCTAAACCAAGCAAATTATAAAGGGATTTCCATTTATTCCAAAGGGTTTCTCTTTTACATGCTACAGCAGAATCCAATGATGCTCCACTGAAACTTCAGGGCTGCACAATATTGCTTGCACACTCAAATATTGTGGTGTCATTTTTTTGCCATAAATACCGTGATATTTACAAAGCAACAAAGGAGTTCATTATTTACCCAAAATAAAATATAGACGGAACTCATTATCTTCCAAGTGAGTCTGTCAAATAACTCAGTGTTGCCGCAAGTTGTGCTGGCAAATCACTTGCTTTTACTTAATATGGTCACTACGGAATCCCAAATATCTTGTAACAAGCAAAGATACATGTCTTTTGGTGATCAGTTCTAGTTCGCTTTCCTCCTTTACACCCTTATACTCCTCCTTTACACTTTAACACTCTTTCACAAAAAAGCCACAGAGTGAATCCGACAGCAAAGATGAAAATGATTATGACATGTCGAGCTCATACAAGAGCAGCAGCAGTAAACTTCATTTTTTAACATACTGAGTTTAACATACCAGATAATCTTGAAAACAAAGAATCATTAAATTTGTTAAATGGTAACCCCCCCTCACCCCACCCCACCCACGCTCGGTTAACTGTATCACCAAAATTTCGAAAATACAGAAAATGTATTGCAATGTGCTGATGGTAAGAAAAATGTGATACCGGCCAAGCCTAATCCCCCAGCCCTTGAAATATGACATTTGTATGTGTAAAACATTTTATATAGACATTAATATTGCACAATGCCCAACCCTAGTATAAAAACAGGAGAATAAAATGTTCCAATATCACACAAACTTTCAAAATAATACTTCTGAGATGGCAAAGCAAAACCGACAAGAGCACAGATACAACGATACCATTCTCAAACGAAAGAGATACAAAGCAGCAGAAAAAAGGCAGAAATTATACAGATGACACACCTCCTTGCTGGAGAGCCAGACTTGGACCTGCGACCTGAGCCAGACCTGCAAAAGGGTAACAGAATGGGTTTTGTCACCCTGAATATGTCAATCATTCATATCAAGTTACATACATGAGCAACATGACATAAGAAAGCCCCTAGCATTAAGTATTGCAGCTAGGGGTGCAACGATTATTCGACATTGTCGACAAAAATCGACAATAAAAATAGTTGCCGACAAATTTTATTGTCGATAATTGTCGGCAGACGTATTTTTAAACGGAGTGAGACGTTTCCCTTTCTACCTGTGCAATACTACCGCTTTCCAATAGACTGCATCAATACGTTACACTGGTGAGATTTACTCTCGCGCAATAGCATTCAGTGACAGGTAGAAGAATGGTGGCCACAAATCAGGCATCATCGCGTATTAAACGCTGTAAAGTCTGGGACACATGGATTAAAGTTTTCGTCGCTATGATGGATTTCCGTCAACTGAGTGCACCAAAGGTTAATAATGAGATTTATGTAGATCCGAAGGAAAAAATGGGGGGGGGGCTGGAAAGGCTGTATTTCTTTTGTTTAATTACGATTAAATTATTCTTCCTAAAAATAAAAATAAACATTATGGTTTCGGCAGTTCGCTTAAATATTGACGGCTGCCGAGTAGCCTACAGGCTGCAAGCTACTTCCCAAGTTTAAGATGCCAAACTTCATAGTAAGGAGAAAATAATTCCCCAGCATTTAGTGTCACATCAGTCTCAAAGGATTTTAATGTCCCAAAACAAAGATGAAATCTGCAAAAGGGTGAATGGCACGGGCTTCTGTTGCCTGGCGTATCCAATAATAATAATAACAACAACAACAACAACAATAATAATAATAATAGGGCATAATAATAGGCTAGTAGTAGTATATTTTACATGTTCAAAAAAGATTGAAATAGAACGTATTTATGTTTGGAAGTCAGTGGTGTGTCATGAAGTGTCTCATTCGCTAATAGTAGCTAAAAAAGGTCGGAAAACAGCAGAGAAAACCCATTGCTTAAATAGATAAAGAAGCCAAAACTCCGAAGCTCAAGATTCAGGACAGTGGCTCCGATGTCGCAAGTGCTGCGACATGCTTATGCTCCGTTAAAAATAAATAAATAACAGCAGTTTTGAAGTTTTCTTGCTATTAACAGAGGAATGGCAATGGGAAGCTGCTCAAAATTTCCTGCATTTTGGGTCGGGATCTTGGGATTTTTCAGCCTGCTTTAAAATGAGTTTTTATTTGTAAACATAGGCTATATAAATAGCTGATATGACAAGAAATTACCGTGCATTTTAACCTCTATACCGCAAATGAAGTACGAATTAGCATATACAGGTTAAAATGCATGATAATTTCTTGTCATATCAGCGCAAATGCACATAAAATACGTACACATTTGCACTGTTACAGCAATGGATTGCCGCATGTATCGCTTTAAAAGGTGAATGTGTACTTGCATACCAGTTATATGCACTGTGCAGCCCTGATTATAGCAAAAATTGTATCAGAAATTCGGATTGGTATCGGTGCCGATCCAGACCTATTTGACGGATCGGGTATCGGCCATGTGTGACCAATCCACGTCCAATACTTACTTATTTATATCTCTAAAAAGATAGCTGCTGTTTTGTGTTAAATCTATTTGCACAATCAATCGCACGACAGCTCTTTCCCATTTTACATGTGTTTTTTGTGGCATTCAAGTCAAACAAACCTCATACTAAATGTAAAAGCTGGTATAGCTCAATAGGAGCCATTTTATAATTATGCAATTTATAATCCGATTAGTCGACTAATCGTTTTAATAGTCGATGACTAGTCGACTATCAAAGTAGTCGTTAGTGGCAGCCCTAATTGCAGCAAACAAAGGCATTGACAACACAGGGAAGCCCTGATAGGTGACTTTAAGAGTGAGCACCAACCTGCTCCTGGGATAAGAAGCTGACCTGGACCTTGATGGAGACCTTGAACGAGACCTTGACCTGGACCTCGATCGAGACCTTGATCGAGACCTAAGAAAAACATAACCAATTCAGCGTTGACTATAGGGGGTTGTCAGCTCAGCTTGACATATGCTGCACTACCTTGATCTTTTGGGTGTTCCAGATCTGGATCTCCTTGGAGAAGCAGAGTGTGATCTGTGGGGAGAAAAGGATCGTGATCTGAAATGTGCTTGGGGGGGGAAGAGCTGTGAGCTCAGCATGAGATGAGCATTCAAAACCTTGGGTAGGATCTGCCCAATACCCATGGATGTCAAAACAGGAAGTGCCAGGAAGGGCTGTGACACCAACACAAGGCCTCACCTGCGGCCACGACTCCGGCTACGTGAGCGAGAGTACCTCCTCCCACGGGATCTGGAGTGAGAACGGGACCTGGACCTGGACCTGGACCTAGATCTGACCACATCCGAAGATGTTTAAATCAGCGGCCGCCAGCATTGGCAAGGAACACAGCACACTACCGCACACTGCATCTGCTAGCTTACAGTAACACACTAGCATATAGCTACACTTTCACTGAACAAGTCATCAGAATAAAGTACGTCACAATTAACAGTATATATACATAGGAAAATGTTAATTCATTACTCTAGTATAAATATACATATGCTTCACATGAAGCAGCAATGTCATTCTCAAAAATTAAAAGGTAATACATTACATTATTCTTAAATTTGTTCAAAAAAAAAAGAAAAACACATTAATTGGTACTTGAAATAAACCTTGCAAGTTTGCAGGGCGACCCTCTTTGGACCAAGGTCTAGGAGATCTAGGCGATCTAGAAGTATCTATCAGCCGATCTCTGCATCTAGTCGTGTTCTTCAATCTAACGATGACCGCACCGAGAGCCAAATCGCTTGATTGAGGCTTGATAGATGCGAGGGAGCTTTTTCTAGACGGGACCGTGGTCAACCGGGTCGTTCCTCTTTATAAACCGTGGCCCAATTGATAGCCAAATTTATTGGACTGGCGATCGTCTGGTGTCAAGCGAATTTTCTGCCCTCAACGAAATCTTAAGTTGCAGCTAGGAGTGGCAGGCGCTCGAGGGGGTCTCTTATGCTGATCACCTCAGCGTCTAGGAGGATCGTAAGTGTTGAATTTGCTAGATGCCTCATGAAATCGTAAAGGCTTGAGACACTCTGAATCAAACGAAGAAACCTGAAAGGTTTTGACCAGGTGGATTGTTAATATTGCAACAACATTTCAGAAAAAAAAATACTTTTCAAATAGATATAAATATATTAAGTCAAACAGTAAATCCAAAACAGTAAAACCAATACATTATTCATAAACATACAGTGATTGCAGTTTCATATGTACATCGTTACAGTTACTTTCATCAAGAATGAGCAGAAAGACTGACAGATAGAGCAGTGGTGTTTATTTCGGCCGGCACGTGTACCTGCTCCGCCGCCGCCGGCTGTAGCGATGGCAGTCGTAGGCATAGTGCCCCTTCTCACCACACTCGTAGCATCTGTCGTTGGGGTCAAATGGCCGGCGGGTTGGGGGCCGGTCATAGCGCGAGCGTCTTGGCATTCCTGTAGACAGCTCGACTCGAACCCGAGACCCGCAGAGCACCCTGAAACAAGTCACAATGGGCAAGTGACACTGCAACTGATACTACTGGAAAGGAAAGATGCCACCTTTCTGGTGACCCAGCATTCCCCCTTGCCACCCCATAATACTAGAGGAAACTACAGCCCTTTCATTACGATAACCCTGCAGCTGATAGGCTGCAGCAGATGCCTGATGCTGCTGACAGTCTAAACCAGCGTTTCCCAAGCCGGTCCTCAGGGACCCACAGCCGGTTAACATTTTTGTTCCCTCCCAGCTCCCAAAAACGTAGACTATCTGTGGGTTCCCAAGGATCATGTTGGGAAATTCTGGTGTAAATGAAGCCTTAAATCCCACTGACTGCAGGGCTACTGAAAGAAACTGGAGAGACTAATTGTAATGAGGGCCATGAGAAGAGCAGCGAAAATTTGAATCAAATGAAACTACTCAGCACTGTCTGGTCCACCTCTACATTAGCAATAAGCAGGAAAAACATACTTTAAGTTAAAATTATTTCATCATATAGGCCTAGAACAATCAAACATATACTGTACAATGATACAATAAAAACAAAGTCTTAGTACAAAATGATAATCTCATCTTAAAACATTTATTTGTTAGCTTGAGCAGGCAGCATCATTGTTTTTTTTTTTTTATTTTTTTTTTATTGTGGTTGTAATGTTAATTCATTGTTATTTCACTAATTTTATCTAAGAATATTTATTGTGTTTCATTATGGTCTGTACGGCACTTCGGTGAACTTTTGTTGCTTTAAATGTGCTTTATGAACAAACTGATTTGACTAAACAAAGTGGTTAACTTTTCAGGTTTTTAATACAAATGCAGCATGGTTTATCCATTAAACAACTGAAATAGTTCAATTTATTTTTTTGTGCAATAAAATATGCAACACACATTTTTACAGGAATTTTAAAAGACGCAACAGATCAGGTCTGAATCCCAGAAAAAAGGAGCAGCCGGTAAAACCTTAAGCCCTTCGCTGGCAGTATTTGGACTGCTGGGCCTGAACTTAAGACACAGCTATACAAAGGAGCCCATCTCTGAGTAAATCACCTCATTATCAGTCCCAACTCACTGTACACTTCTTCAGCTCCCCAGGTAAACCCAGGAACAGATGGGGACCTACACCACAGATACAAATGCTGGCCTGCTAAGCATTGCTGGGTGTCATGAGACATGGGAGAACAGAAACACCCCCTAATGCAGGTCCAAGAACACTTACACACCTATTTCTGACTATTTCTAAAGATCAAGAGGCCAGGAGGGAGCTGAGTGTCCTAATTCCAATAGAAATTTGGTTCCAGTACTTAAGTTGCTTTGGACTTATATACCCTGGACAAAAAATGAATAAAACTAAACTTAGGTCAATCACTACTGGCAATGTTATTAAATCCCTGTTAAGCATTTTGGGACAAAAACAGGAAAGGTAAATAATTATCTACATAATACATAATTGCATGATTCAATTTTTCAGCAATAGTTTTAAGAGTGTGTGATGAATATTAGGGGAGAAGCTTCTATAACACCACACACAACACCACAATACACGTGACCTTGCACAGACATCTTGCCAACTAGCAAACAAGTTGTTGTTTAGATGTAACTTGCGCACATAAGAACAGGAACAACATGCCACAACAAAAAGCACATTAAGATAGCATAAAAAATTCAGTCATGCATGCATGAAGAGAGGAATTAAAACCTCCAAGGTAAACGTACCACAGGTGAGAGCACATCTCCCTCCATACTGGAGATGTGTCTTAACCTTCACAGCAGTAGTGCAGCAGCACACTTACTTGCCATCCAGCCCACGGACAGCATCCTCAGCATCCCTGGGATCCTCAAACTCAACAAAGGCAAATCCTGGAGGATTCCTGGCAATCCACACCGTCCTCAGCGGTCCATAATAGCCAAAAGCTCGCTCCAATTCTCCTTTCCCTGCACCTGTGCCAAGGTTCCCCACATACACCTTTGTCTCTGAAATGGGAACATACATAAAAGTGATATGTCACAGTTGTCTTTGGCATACTTTATGCTGAAATTCATATAGATACGTGTTTGAACATGCCTGTTTCCCTTTGCAGCACACATATAACATTAGTAATTTTCTGAATGCCCCTTGACTATCAAAAATGAATGAGCCCTATGACATTTAATCTGGTTAATTATTAACCTCGACCACATCGAATTAACTTGAAGTGGCCCATTATGCGAGACAAACTTTGAAAGGCAGGCCTGCGCACAAACATGCATAATTACGGAGTTAATTAGACATTAGATCAGCCTGCATAGGAGATCCGGTATATGAGATTTATTTATTAATACATTCCACTAACTACACAGTTACAAAGAGAAGCTGACACTACCATGGGGGCGGAAATGACAGAGAAATAAGCGTCTAAATACGTCACATTCATTTTTAGTGTGTGTCTTTGACAAATCTTAACTTTTTGTCCGAAGAACTAGTGATTACACCCTTTTACTGAAGATATCCTAACAAATGGTTCAGACCGAGACCGTTAAAATCTAAAACAAGTCCTCAAAAGTTAGCCAAAAAAGCAACAGGGAATCGAAAATCCTACCATAAGCGACCCGAACTTGGAGGACGTAACACGGGTAAAACGAAAGCGTGAGCCGGACTGACAGCCGTGCGGCCATCGGGGGGGCGGGGGACGACGACGCCTAAACACAGCCAGCGAGCTAACGGCGGCTCCCCTGACAGCCACAAGAGCACAACACTGGAGCAATACTACATAACACAGCCAGGCAGGCCGCGTCCCGGTCCGTCATCAGAAGCAGGCAGTTACCGCACGCGAGCGCGCCTGCTTAGCTACCTGCGGCGAAACCGAAGACCGTAACCCCTACGTATTAAACAGCAGTGGGCCACTGTCGGTATCACTCCAACTAAAGCTCACTATTAGGGAGTCCACCAGTACTTCAGTAGCTCAAGCTGACCCGGATCCAAGAGCAGGGAGCCCCAGCGCACAACAGCGCTTAGTCGACACAGACGCCATTACAGCAAGCCGACAACAGCGCGCATGGACCCGGTTACGTAAATACACAGCATAAAAGTCACTTCCCCCCACCCGGCTTTAAAAACATCTCCGGCTTTCGGTGGCGGCATGTGATATCTAACCGCGGAACCGTGCCAAGCCTACCTCCACCATAACGTCCGTATCTCGACATCGCGTTTCGTCGAAAGCCTCGGCTCGACAAGCCGCCTCTCTGCCGCGCGTGCTCGGACGTGTACGCGGCTGAGGCTCTTCCGCCTTCGCTGCGGCTCCCCGCGTCGTCATGGTAACCGCATCCCGCGGCAACGACCGAAAAGAGAAATAATAATTTGCGGTCAAAGAAACACAGTTAATATGCAGTGTTAATATACATTTGAAATATATTCATATTTCACTTTTACGTAAACTAATACCCAATGTTCGGTTTAATCTCTCCTCGGAACCAATCAATTTAATAGTGGTGATTGTTTCCAACCCGACGGTTTTTATTGCGACACTCGTGTGGAGTCTTGTCACTGTAAAGTGGGCCTGCGTTTCAGAAGGATTTCGGGTCATTTGGTTATGTATATGATACGAGCTTTTGTGAAAAATTATGAATCCGTGGCGCCAAAAGATGCCACTGGAGTGGCAGAGATACGTGAATAACGAAGTGAAAGTGGTAGCGGACGAAAAGCGACAGTATCAAGGCTGGGTTTATACGGTGGACCCGGTGTCTGCAAGGTACATGTTTAACAAGCTGGTGTGTCCCCAGTTTATTTCTTGCTTGTGAACTTTAAAAACTGTACATCACGGCATCATATTGTCCCTTGGTACAATTAGTGAAATTGGCACTAATTTCCATGTCATTTTGTCTTGCTTTCCTTTTTTTTACACTTTAAGCATATCCATATTTACTTGACGTAGTTTTGGTTGTTTAATAACATATTCCGTTTTTTATGTTGGTGGTTCAATTTATATTAGAATACTTTTTATTATGATATTAAACTAACATGTTCAACAGTATGTAGGGTAATGTGAATATCATTACAAAAAATGAACTACACGTGAAGACACTAGTAATGATATACTAATCCATCTTTTATATTGCCAGAGGTTCAAGGTGTGATCGGTAATTGTTTTTTCCCTTCAAAGTATTGTACTGGTGAATCCCCAGGAGGACGGCAGGGCACACGTTACGGTGGTGATGGGTCACGCTGTGGAAAAGGTGGAGCTGTTGCAGGATGGCGGCGAAGAGATAGCGCAGAGACTGTCCTCCCTGTTCTCGCCAGATGGCGTGCAGACCGTGAGCAGGGAGGAACTGCAGAGCAAGAAAGGGTGTCTACGCGCTTGGCTGGAGAAGAACCGCATTCCGGTGACGGAAGAAGGGGAGGCCCTGTGCGTGGCGGGGGTGCTCCGCATAAACCCACCGTACGGATCAGCCGATTGTATCAGCTCCAATGAGATCATTCTGTCTCGAGTGCAGAGCCTAGTGGAAAGTAATCCTGGAATACAGGGTTAGACATTGTTCGGTGCAACACTGTCGATTTAACAAAGGATTTTTTCCGATGAAAATGTTCTTTCTAAATAAGCTTTCTTAAGGACTTTCTGATTTAAGTAAAGTTGAAGTGCATTCAATAATGGTGTTTTTGAATGAGGTCGATTAGGGCCTTTGTGTTTGTTTTCGCAAGATGAAATGTCTTTTCTAATAAAACTAAGGAATTAGTTACGTTGGTGAATGTGGGGTGAAAACCCACGTGATCACGAGAAACCCCGTAACATCAGCTGAGGCCTCATTGAAAACTATAATCCAGCAACTGTCAGGCAATAAACCAACAAAACACAAAACAGCACCAGAGAGTCTGGCTGCGATAGGCTGACTCCCCTTTTTGGGATATTCCCTGCCATACGCCGTTAGCTTCTGGGATAGGCTCCAGACCCCCGCGCCCTGGTATAGGACAAGAGGACACAGAAAATGGATGGATGGAGCTTGGATATGGGGGAGTACATGTAGAGCTATAGCTCAGCAGAGGAAGGCACAGGGTGTTTAGCGGATTATCCTTGTACCCCCAGAGTTTTTTTTTTCTCTGTCAAAACAGTGATTTCTTTACCTCTGGTTTCTGCTTTCGATCACCGCTATTAATTTTTGCTACCCTCAGCTGTATGCTGACATGTTACACGGTTGTCTGATTATGCTTAACTATGTTATGAAAGGTGTTATATAAAAAGCATCAGAATTTCTTTGTTTTTCAGTAGAGTTTAAAAGCTCAAGAAAAACCAGAAAGTAATATTTCAGTTATACACACACACACACACACATATAGTATGGTTATATATTCCTGCTTATCCCAATCTGAGGTGCATAATATTTATAAAAAAGAAACAAGATCTTTTTTGTCAGTTTTCTATGTTATTTCTAACTTGTTTTGACTTGGGTCTAAATGTACCTTTTGATGACCTACTTTTATACACAAGCCCTTTAACAGAGTGTTATTTGTGTAACAAGATATATAGGAATATTAGAAGAGATTTTAGAACAAACATAGTCCTGTTCCAATAAGAAAAAGAGTGTGTAATCCTGACAGCTTCAAGACACATTCACAGTGAGTATTGAAACCACATTAAAATGAAATCCAAGGTGCTCCAGTACAAAAAAACAGTATTTATTCAGCAGTCAGTGTCAATAGTATTTTTAAAATTTCATTGGCAGGCAGTATAGCAGCATAGATTTTTGAGAATGTAGTGACCCTACATTCTCAAAAATCTATGCTGCTATACTGCCTGCCAATGAAATTTTAAAAATATTGCCAGTCCCTGGAGCAATTGGGGTTAAGGGCCTTGTTCAAGGGCCCAATGGTGAAATGGCTCGGCTGACCAGGGGCATTGAACTGATGACCTTCCAATCCCAGGCTCAGAATCCTAACTCATTACCAAGATGATGAGTATGAGTGTGTGCCATGAATAAGGTGTATAGTTTTTATATTTTATAGAATTAATTCTTCCTGTTCTGTTTTTAAGATGTGGATCAGTTGCTAATGTAGGAACATCGGTGTCTATTATAAATAAGCACAAAATGTCAAACTAAAAACTGAATGAAAACTACCTTATATTTCAGATTCTTTAAAGAAGTGTTGACTGGTTTGTACTCTTGGGCATCTCTCCACCCACTGAGGAGTCCACCTGGTCTCGACAGAGTTCCTAAATCGGCTGAACTTTCTGGCTGATTTCTGGTTGCATTTCTTGTCCGGCACATCCCAACCCATCTCTTTTGGGTTTGGGTCAGGTGACTGTCGAGGCCATTATCTGCTACAGCACTCCATCGCTCCCTTTTTTGCGAGTCACTCTTCCACCAGTTGAAGGTGCATTGTGGGTCATTGCCCTGCTGAAAACACATAACAGGGGGTGTGGCCAAGCTTTTGACTGGTTCCATATATGAAAACCTGGAAACGAAGAGGAAAAGGTTGTGAACAGCATGGACAACTATTAAGCATTATTATTCTTATGCAGAACAATTTTTTAAATGAACCTTCTGTTTCATAGCAAAAAATCATATTAAGGAATATAATAAAACAAATTCATAAGTACTATAGTGATTTCATGTTCCAAAGAAATCACTTAAATTAAATTATCAAAGGAAAAGCAGCCACAATGTAGTTACTAGCTGCATTAATCCACTATATATGGTACTGGGGAGAGTCTGACAGTGTCATCATCTGTAAGAAGCTTTGCACTGGGGTGGCAGTAACTGAATAAACGATTAAAGATAACCTTATATAGCCGCAGTCAGCCAATTCTTAAACTGCATTATCTCTTCATGCCTAGCTGGCTCTTGCGAGCCTGTGTTTACACCTGCAATAAATGCACTTTACATTATATTTAGCCTTGAGGAATATTGTGTCCTCGTCTCTGCACAGTTTCCCCCTCAGGTCTCAGCCATTAACATCAGAAACAGACAGTTCAGTATAATAATATAAACCTGCCTGGGGAAGGTCAGTCTGCTCAGTCACACATTATAAATTTGCATGCGCCTGTCTGATATGTACAAAAGAAACCGGGTCAGTCAGTAAACCTGGTCATTAAAATATTTTACATCATTGTGTACCACTGGGGGACGCAGTATCAAAGTTGATTGTGAAACAAATGTTAAATCATTGGTACTGCACTTTAATCCAGGTTGCACACTATGCATGTTGACGTGTGTCAGGATGCTTACATAATTGCTATTAATTAATAATGATTAATTTTACATTTCAGCTATATACAAGGATTTTTTAAAATCCATGCATTTGTATTATGGTCAGTGGATTAGCATGCTGTGCCAGCGACCAAGAGGTTACTTGTTTGAAGTCTGTGGTCAGCAGAGTGATGTCAGGGTTGAGCCATTAACCCCAATTGTTCCACTGACTGACTCTGCTTTCACAAAAATGTATGTCGCTTTGGATAAAAGTGCCTGCTAAATAAATAAAGCAAATGTTGTATAAGAGCATTAAAGTTCTTTGTGTTAATTCAAATGGCCAAATCCACTGTATTATTTCTAGAACATGCTGAACATGTCAGACAGCTGTGCAGATTCCTGCATGTTGCCACAAGCAAGGGGCCTTCAGGGGCTCTCTGTGTAACGCTGTGACCTTCGAGGAAACACAGTTATGTGGCTGAAGTGTTTAAGAGCTGCTCAGTTTCTTTGTAAGTACAGCATCCAGATAAAAGTGCAATCTGCTGTTTTTTTTGTTTTTTTTAGTCGCTGTTGCCTTTAATGTTTTCAGCAGCATCTTCACAGCTGCTGATACAATAAGCAGCAGCTTTATTGGCTTTTTTATTGAGCAGCTGTTAAACACTGAGGACTGTTATCTTCTTCTAAGGCTTCAGCTCAAACTCACTGGCATTTGTAAGAATTTATCCTCTGGTGTGTCAAGACAGTCACTTCAGCAAGAGTTCATTTTGTGTTCGACCCTCTTTCGCTATAAATAATGAAATTCAATCTGTTTATACTCCTTCATCTACTCAGTATTGAGAATAAATCTCCTTATTATTAATCAGACTTTTTTATGCTTTCTATAATGGAAAAGCTGCTATCTGAGTATTATAATGTCCAGAAATACCTGGAATGACAACCTTCATAGATCACAAAAAAACAAAAGGGATAGGAATAGGAGTTATTTACTGCATGGCAGTTCATGTTCCACAAGGCATATGGTGGCAGGTCTACATCGTTACATTGATCTGCTCCTCATGCTTCCTGGGCAGACCCCGGCATTTTCTGTTTATGGTGCATTGGCACATTTGCTCATCCTCACTGGGCACAGCTTGTAGCTCTT